TCCCTCTATTGGCTTTGTTTGTCCACTGCAATCCTTCACCATTGGTTCATCCCAATCCTTGCCACTAAAAATGAGGAAACAGAACCAAGTTGAATAAAATGGACTAATATTCTACTAGACAAATCATATACAAACTTGCAAGAAAATGTGATTGATGTACAATTCGTCGAGACTTAAGATGTCATTTGGTTCACGTACTACTAGCTTTGTCCCAATTTATATGACAAACTTTCCAATTTTGCCTGGTCTAAAAAAGAACATGTTTCTTTATTTGACAAATATTTAATGACACTATCAACATTTTATTCAGCTTGAGTCCCACTTATTTGACAAGAAGTATATAAAAGTGTACTCTTGGAACATTGCAAAATCTTCTCATATTTCTTAAACTCCGTGCCCAGTCAACTACATCACATAAATTGAGATGGAGGGAGTAGTATGTTTGGATTAAAAATATAAGCCCGTTCACGAAGCATCATCTCGTGTTCATGGAAGGTTTGTAGAAGGATCATACCCCAAGGGGATGTAGTACGTTTAGGCCACCTACCATGACAGAAGCAATAGTGACTGATACATATCACGGCTACAATTCGTGACCTATAGGTCAGATGGAGACAATTTTACTGTCGTTCTAAGGTTTATGTTGAGATTTTAATGTGAACGACACCTAAATGATTAGACGAGAAAAAGAGAAGTTGTCTGATAATTAACTTACAAATAATGAACAGCAGAAATTCCTTGGAAGAACACTTTAGTCACAGCAGGATCAATGTTGGAATCAACCCAATTAGCCCAAGTAGTTAATGCGATATTATATGCTTCCATATGGTCCATCTCCTTGTATAGTTTGTCACCAACTTGAAAATAGTCCCAACTGCGGAAAAAAAACAGGACAATGTAATTTTTCTTGTAATACAAAACAACGGAGTTTGGCTTCAATTAAGTTAGTGAAGAAGTGTACGTTTGTAGGCGTCCAGTATGTATCCACCAATGGTAGCTGTTGAAGATTAAGACATCAACTCCTTTCCACTGCTCAGTTCTGCTGAGTGAGTCGAGCTTAAGAACTCGTCCTGCTTCCTCGACCACTAGGTCAACGAGAAATCCATCTTTCAAGAATGTGACTGTGAACTCAAACTCCTTCACAAGCCAAAAACGAACATGAGAAAGAAGGGCAGAATACATATCAGAAAGTTAAAATCAGTTTCAGAGCAAGGAGATATTTTTTAATAACCTTAGTGTCCCGTCTAGCTACCTCGACTAATAGTACGGGATACCTGTCACCTCCGACCAGCAACAGGTACCAAGTAACATGTTCATCAAGGCGAGGAAAAGATGAGGAAAAATCACCTTATAATTTTGTGTCTGCTAGGATTTTAGTGTTTATCAAATCTCCTAACAATCTATGTTGCTCGAATCTTCCAAAAATGTTGGGGCATTCATGTTCGATCCTCCAAAAATGAATACTTTCAGAGGATCCAACAGATACCTGGGGACGTTTTTGGAGATTCCGAGCAACATAGTCACATGGAGAATAAAAGGATGTCATGTGCGCGACAGGGTAATTACTGAATCCTCTTAAAGTATTTAGCAGTTGATGCTTCTTTGTGCTGGATAGAAAATTCATCATAGGCCATGATATCGAAGAACGATTGCAGTTTAACCTTTTGGCGCTAACCACAACAATTATATAATAAAATTTGCTAAAACGAAGGATCTATCACAGATTTGGATCATTTTCAATTTAGATTTTTCAGTTACATCAAAGGAGCAAGGGCTCTTGTTATACATTTATAATACACATAGGCTCGGTAGTTGTACTGAGTTGTAGATGGATGACATGTTAGATTACAACAAGTATTAATCGGTCTAATTAAGCTTAGAAGAATTCCAGCAATTAGCCTCTATGCGGGATCTAAGATCATTTACTATATGTTATCCATCTGTAAACATGCTAGCATTGTTGATATCGGGAGGCGGATCATATCCACTTATACTAATCTAGTAAATTAGTACTACTTGTTTTAACCAGTCAACATCATGACTCTTACTCTAATCAAAAGACTAAGCACCCCTATTGAACATAGGTCGCCAAACTACGATAGAGAGTTTCACTTTTGAAGTGTCAGTCACAGCCTTTTGAAGTGCTTACTAGCATGCCATGCCAAGTTTAATCAAGTCAAAAAGTCTTTGATGGCTCAAGATTTGTATTACAGAAAGGATAGTGATGGGAAGAGGAGCAGCCCTTGATTGGCCCCAATGTCGGAGCACTTTTACCAATAACAATATGTCCAGTGTAATCCCACTAGGTGGAGTCTGGGAAGGGTAGGGTGTACGTAGAACTTACCTTTACCTTGTGAATGCAGAGATATTGTTTTCCAAAGACTCTCAGCTCAAATAACTCATAACAAAGCAATGTTAAAAATAACATATAGACACGCACTACAAGAAAAGCGTGAATTACATGAGGATTTTCCTGGAAATTAGTATGAAAATTTGCACGAAAATAAGTTTCCTACGAATTTTCATACAATCCTCGGAAAAATCGCCATGTAATTCACACTTTTCTTATAGTGACGCAGAGTAGACATAACATAATAACGAAATCATTACATAGCATTCAAGTCTACCAAACAGAAGATGATAGAGGGGCTGAGAGGCAACGATAAAGTCGACTTACCGGGAATGAAAGAACGGAACGATTTCTTGTCCTGTCAAATGTGTAACTACAATTTGGAACTGCAGCATGAAGCATGCATGCTAGTGATTGCCACTGGTTATTGCTCAATGAATCCCCCACAAACATGAAGTTTTTGCCTTTGAAGTTTTTCAATATATCTTCACCAATGAACCTATATATGCCATAATCCATAAAAAGAAAAATCATTTTAACAAGTCTTTTAATTAAACACACAAATAAGTCAAATGAGAGTTCAACGTGTACTGTATATGCATAAAAATAATTTACCAAGAATCTAGTGAGCTACCTGTACTAAAAAATCAGACTCATAAGCTCAAAATTCTAGCTTCGACTCTACAAGCACGAAATTTAATAGAAAAAAAAACAAGTCATTATGTTACCTGGGGAGGTCACAATCTGTAGGCTGCCATCTATATTTGAGATAAAAATTATCTTTTCTTCCATTTTTGATGCAATTAAGACCTTGGTCTATAAATGGACATTGTAAAGAATCATAAATTGGATAAGATTCATCAAAAATCCAACTTCCTTCAAAAATACTACAGCTCCTCAATTGTACTGTTAATAGATGTAGAAAAACAAGAAAAAGGTAGATTTTGGTAACTGTTTTTGTAGACATTGTGAAAATTTAGAACACAAATTGAGAGTTGTTATGAAAATTGGGGCAAAATAAATAAAAATTGTAGTGTTTGATAATCAATGTGTGTATGTAGAGTTTGGTGTGGATAAATTAGTTGGTTGTCTTGTTTTAGTACTGGTATTATATACTGGTAAAAAGTGCACTATAATTAGTAAAGTAAGCAACTGAACAATGTCACCAACATTCTTTGTGTGAATGCTATGTCCTCTCCTCCTTTCCGGTTTACTTTTCGATGTCAAATTATCTGTCGTGTTTTTTTTTTGTGTGTGTCATAAAATTTTTAAGTTATATCTTTTTTTGAGTTTCGTATCTAAATTATTAAAAGAGTAATTATATTAGTTTGAAAAACACACTATAATAGCGTGTGTAATACGCTTCTTTTATTTAAAAACTTTTTTCCATGATTTTTCACATGGATCGACGATCTTAATAAAAAAATCAATAATAAACTACTATTTCAAAATTAAAAATAGTTTTTATAAATAAAAATCATACTTTACCCCACTCTAATATCTATGGTTAAACAGATATTTGAAGATAAATTTTAAAAAAATTGATCCAAAATATATGGTCAAACATATATAGTCTGTTTTCATTGAATATTTACTTCACTTATGTGTCATCTGTCTATGATTGATGTGTTTGTATTACTCAAGAAATATTAGTAATACTATCTATGGTTAAACATATATTTGCAGATAAATTTTTAAAATTTGATCCAATATATATGCTCAAACATATATAGTCTTTGTTCAATCAATATTTACTTCATTCATGTATCATCTCTCTATAATTGAAGTGTTCGTATTACTCAAGAAAAATTAGTAGTACTATCTATAGTTAAACATATATTAGAAGAACAATTTTTAAAATTTGATCTAAAATAATGGTCAAACATACATAGTCTTTTTTTCATTCAATATTTACTTCATTTATGTGTCATCTCTCTAAGGAGTTCGTATTACTCAAGAAAAATTAGTAGTACTGTCTATGGTTAAACATATATCTGAAGATAAACTTTAAAATTTGATCCAAAATATATTGTCAAATATAAATAGTCTTTGTTCATTAAATATTTACTTCATTTATGTGTCATCTCTTTATAATTAAGGTGTTCGTATTACTCAAGAAAAACTAATAGTACTATCTATGGTTAAATAGATATTTGAAGATAAATTTTTAAATTTTGATGCAAAATATATGGTCAAACATATATAGTCTCTTATTTATGTGTCATCTCTCTATAATTACGGTGTTCATATTTACTCAAGAAAAATTAGTAGTACTAAGTTATAATGAAAGAGAAAATTGATTCCAACGTCTTATCAGACATATTTAAAATCATAACATTAAAGAATATCATGATGCATCATAAATAACTTAATTTAAAAATAATTTTTTTTTAAAGAGTATTATCTACAATTAAATAAAAACACATAATTTTAAACGAACTAGATATTGGACGCAAAAAATTAGCCTTGTCACATGGTTTACACTTTCTCAGTATGAACGAAACACAATCTTTACTTTTGTTTGTCAGTAAAAGGAGGGTTTTTTCTGTACCTTTATGCCTTTACTCAAATTCATATTTAATTGGATTTTTAAATGCAAATATCAAATTTTCGGTGGAAAATAAAAAAACAAAGTTTTTCCATTCAATAAGATTATTAGTCAGTAGTTTATATTATAAAAAAAATATCAGATTTAGTATTACATTGAATTCAATCAAATGAATACCATAATCATACACAATTACCATATATATGTTCAGTATTAAATTCAAATAGTAAACTTGGCTAAAGAAAGTAATTCTCAGCCTTGATATATTCCCTACAATTGCAAATATTTGACTTGGGTACACTTTGGCTATCCGTAAAGTTGAAGGAAATCTTGGGTCATGGATCAACAAAGATGTGTTTCGAAGGAGATACATTTACAGTTTTCCTATAAGAAACATCACCTCTACCAACTAAGGTTCTGTTGTTGTCCAGAGATTCAACCCGACTGTCCATCTGGCACATGGATTCATTACCACAGGAACTACAATTCGTGAAAATACAGTGCAACCACGCGTAGAACTAGCATGATCATGACGGGGTATAAGCATCTCACTGACAATTAGACCAATGTTACCTGTATGCTGCTGCTGATCAACTCATCGGATATCTGAAGAAGCGATTAAGAGACATTTTGACTAAGTCTCAAAATGTCCATCAGCAACTGACTGACAGAAGCCTTTATATCATCTGGTTTTACTGACAGGGGAGGAACTGATTCCAGTGCATGTCATATCGGCTTTCCAGACATTCTGATTCACAAACTTGCGTGATGCATTTAAGGCACATTTGCTGCATACTGAAGTTAACATGTCATGTTTCAATCATAAGGGGAATATAGGAGGAAATTCGATAATATTCCAAAAAACAAAAGGAAATTTTACAATATTATTTAATCTAAGGAGCAGATAAGGGAAGTGATGAAATTTCCTAAGAGCAAAAGAGTCTCACATCAACTTCTTGAATTCTGAAATATGCACGCAACCTCTTAGCAGAAAAAACAGTCTTGTTTGCAATAGAAGGGCAACCAAAAAGGGCGACTTTTTTCAAGTCACTGCCAGACAACCATCTGAACAACCAAATTTAATAGATTAAGGAACTGAATAAAGAAAGCTAAACTAAGAAAAACATACTAAACATAGCACAAGCACAAGCGAAATGTGGTAATTCGTCTACAAACCGTGCCAACACACATGAAAGACAGCATCCATGCCTTTTCAAGTTTGGAAAAGGGCCAAAAATATCTCTAATCTAATGAAATGGTTCACAAATACCCTTTGTTAACCTTTAGGTCTAAAAATACCGTTACAATTTTTTTGGCTCAAACATACATCTAAAACTAACGGATTTGGGTCTTTAAAATAGCTTAAAAGGGCCAAAAATACCCCTAACGTTTTGAGAATGGCTCAAATACCAATTGTTAACCTTATGGTCTAAATATACCCTTAATGCTCTTTTTAGGGGGCTCAAGCATAGCCTTGTAACTAACGGACCAGCCTTGGTCAAATTTGGGTCTTTAAAACAGTCACGTGTCATTCTAAGTTTGCCAGATTTCTAATATAGGATTAAAGTAAAGCTCACTCATTTATCAAACCCAGCCCATTTTATTACAAATTCATCACCCCATACAATTTTTTCTACCCAAAAGCATCTGTTATTTCCTAGAAGCTTAGAGGTGATAGGCGATTTAGGGCTAAACTTTTGTACTTCAAACTAGAGATTGTGGGTCATAACTTCATTGGATGTTGAAAGATTCTTCTTGATCAATCAATTTCGAAATCTTGTTAATAAGGCAACTATTTTACTACTTTATATGAAACTTTTTTCTATTTAGATTTGATGCATTTGAGTGGAAATCTTTCAGGAACAATCTCTCTACCTCCACAAGATAGGGATAAGTTTTGCTACTCTATCCTCCCTAGGCCCACTTGTAGGATTATATTGGTATGATGCAGTGTTATTTAAGGCGAGCGCCTTTCGCCTTTGGCGACAAGGCAAGGCGAGGCAATTACTCTATCCTCCCTAGGCCCACTTGTAGGATTATATTGGGTATGATGCAGTGCTATTTAAGGCGAGCGCATTTCACCTTTGGCGACAAGGTGAGGCGAGGCAATCTCTGAAAGCTGTACCATGGCGATCAAAAGGCGCTAGGGACGTGGCGTGGCGATGCAATAGGCATCGCCTTTTTTTTTCTTTTTTTGAAGTCTGATTTAATAAATAAAAGCCAATTAGGGTTTTTCTTTGGGTATTTTTGCAAACTCACCTCAGATTAGGTGTCACGTCTGCTGGTCCTCCTCACTGGACTTACGCGACCTTCGCGAATCGCGACGCTGCTGCTCAGGTACGACTTGCGGGACTGCTGCTTGGGTACGACCCTGGTGACTTAGTCAAATCTCTTCTTTTCTTCTTTTTCTTTATTTTTCTGCAGTACGACTATGGCGAGGTAGACCCTTGTCGCCTTTTGCCACCAAAATAGTGGTATGATGTAGATGTTGTTGTTTAAATAGTTGCAGACTCTTCACTTTTAATGCCGTACTTGTCTCGAATTCTTCAAAAATACACTACTTTTGGCCAATCAGACACGCACCCGTTGACATTTTTGAAGAGTCCAAGCCGCATAGGTTGTTTGTATGAAACTTGTTATGGTTTGAGATTCCTATAATCTTGGGCCTTGGCCTTCGATAAAAAAAATTACTCCAATCATGTTGAATTTTATAATGCTTTCTCATGAAGTTGTTTTTTGTTTTTCTAATCCATCTGTGTTGAAACTTTTAATGGCTTTGTTTACTACTCCATCTGTCCTAAGAACTCACATGTTTAGAAGATGAAAACTGCAAAGATGAGAATGTGGAGGTAGATGTGATACTCATAGGGATAAGACTAGGAACTAATATATCTGGGACAATGTAGGAGTTGCCTGTATGGTGCATAAGATAAGGAAAGTGAGGGTGACATGGTTTTGGACATGCAAAGAGGAGAAGTATAGATTCCTAGTGAAGAGCAGCCAGAGAACTTCTCCCCTAGAGAGTGAAAAATGCAAAAAGGGCTACAACTGAACCTCAAAAAAAGTACCTGAGAGCGTTTATGATATTGTATGTGTTGGGAGGTATTAGAGCCCTTCAATATTTCTTGTAGTAAATTCAATGTTCTAAAGAATTTGCAGTAGATGAGGTGAAGACAATGTGATTTCTCCTAATACATCTATGCTACATGAAGAAACTTCACTATGATTAATAGTACTAGGAGTATTTCTTTCATGTTTAACAATCTGATGATTTTATAGAGAATTTTATCTCCTTTATCTTTACCTTTCCTGCTCATGGAGAACCGAGGGTTGGAAGCGGATATAATGATGTCTCATATCGCTCAAGACCAGCACAAATCTATGACTTAGCACTTTTTGGTGAGAAGTGTAGAACTCTGGTCAACATTTTTCTTTACTTGAGGAATCCGAAAGAATGACATTTTTTTATGATCGTGGTGTCCCCAGCTTTCGTGCCCCTTGCTTAAAAATGACATATTCCCCAAACACACAACATAATCAGTTATCAGTTTGCGAATGTCAGCTTCTATAAGGCGTAGACATAGACAAATACTTCCCCAGTTTTTCAATGATTAGCAAACTAAATTCTATCAGAAGTGCATTGTTGAAAGATTTTGGTATATCAACAAAACACAAATTACACAATGCAAAACCTCAAGTCCTCAATGATCAAATGTTACAGTCAGAGAATGACCACAACCAATTCATGTAACCACCTAATTCATAAATAATTCATGTAATTTCTTAATTTTTCCCTCATTTTCTGATACCCCATTAGCATTTCGAACTTCCTTCTTCCCATTATCCTTTTCCTCATTCCTCTTCTACAACAAAACCGTCATTTCTCCCTCCAATTTTCTCAACTTGCACTTCAATTCTTTGTTTTCAGTTTAAACCTCACTTTCTGATTATTTAGAATTTTCAAAAGAGGATAACAGCTTCTTGGGGAAACACCCAATGGTTTCTTTGCTTTTGTTTCTTGGCTACACTATCTGAACTAGTTGATTCTTTATGAAACTGAACTGAAAACAAAAAGGGTCTCCAAAAAGATGATGAAAATTGATATGGCATTGAAGAGTTCAAGCATGCAAATGCTATTAGGTTTGGGGGAAGTTGAAGAATTGTTAGAAAACGCCAAGAATTGAATTTTCTCAACTATATCATTGGTGCATTTTTGGTTATTTGGTCATTGAACCATAGATGAGCATATAGAGGGAATATGGGGTTCTTCCAATAGAAGGGTTTTAGGGGTTTTGCAAGAAATAAGTCTACGGCTTACAGCTGTGGACTCTAATTTTTATGGGTTTGGGCCAAAACAGAACTACATGGAGTTTCTTATGGGATAAATTCCCAAGTTTTTCTACGGATTGTCCTTCAAACGGACTAGTGTTTAATTTTTGTCTCTTGTATTTCAGGTGTTAATTTTTGCTTCTGCTGCTCAATTAATAGGAATTTCTGGACTAAAGTTTAGACCTAATCTGGTCGAAGGAGGATTTGTGGACCAAAATGGATTGAGAGGATTGGTTGATGGCGAAGTTGGTATTGGTACCAAAACATCTCCAGCACTTGAGAAGATTCGAGCAGAGATGAAGTACTGCTAGATTCCACTGCTTTCTTAACCAGCCTAAATGAAGTTTTTCAATTATAAATTACCAGGTCTATATTTATGGTGTGGTTTCTTTTTATTGGCAGACATGTGTGTGCTGAACGAGAAGAAATCATAAGGATATTAGAATATCTCGAAAAAGTATGAATGGAAGTTTAGTTCTTGTTAGATGTTCGGATATCTTTTTCTTGTAGCTTCGACATGACTTGATTCGTTTTATTGCAGGGTGGTGATCCTCTTGCATTCAGACATGTGAAAGATTGTTTCACCTACTGTGCAATCCACCTCACTGAAATGTATGGAAAAGAAGCGGAAACGTGTGGCTGCTAATGATAATGAAAAATAAACTACAGGTATAAAGAAAGAGACAAGGAAGAAGAAGAAACTATAGAATAAGTGTTTCCGCAAACACATTTGTTAGTATTAATGTATTGGGCATTGGATGGAATGTTTTAAGTTGTCCAATGATGTCATTATCGGTGGCTAGTGCTTTGTAATGCAATTCAGGATTCGGTTAGTTATCAAATACTTTCTTAATCCTTTTATTCATATTATGGATGGTTTGTTCTCCTATAAAATTTTTGCTAATTATATATACATGGTTTAAGACACAAGTGATTCCAGCTTATAGTGCACCATATTTGCTTAATTGTTGCTCGTGCATTGTTGGTAAAGGGTATACCATATTAGGTGGGTTGCTTTACAAAAAATCCTAAGTTTTGCCTATCCCTACCTTCTGGTGGTAGAGAGGTTGTTTCCAAAAACACCTCAACTCAAGTGTATCAAATCAAAATAGAAAAATCTTCAGATAAAGAAGTAAAAAATTTACCTTAATAATAAGACTTTGAAACTGATTGATTAAGAAGAATCCTGTAATATCCAAAAGTTATGACCCACAATCCCCAATTTAAAGTACAAAAGCTTAGCACTAAATAGCCTATTCCCTCTAAGCTTCTAGGAAATAACCTCTGGAAGAAAAGATTGTATTAGGTGTTTAATTTCTTAAAATGAAAATGGGTTGCGTTTTAATAAATGTGTGGGTTTTAATTTAATCTTGAACTAAAAATGTGGCAAGCTTAGAATGATGTGTGACTGTTATGAAGACCCAATTTTGAACCAAGTTGGCCCGTTAGTTTTAAGGGTTTGATTGAGCCCAAAATAAACATTTAAGAGTAATTTTTGACCAAAAGGTTAAAGGAGGATATTTTGATCCATCTTCAATGTGTTAGGGATATTTTAGGCTCATTTCCACTATTTTGATGATCCAAATTTGACTCAGGCTTGTCGTTTAGTTTCACATATATGTTAAAGCCCGAAAAAACTGAAGGATATTTTTAGACTAAAGGTTAACAGAGGGCATTTGTGAGCCATTTTCAATACGTTAGGCGTATATTTGACCCTTTTCTGAACTTGGAAAGATATGAAGTGTTGTTGTCTTTCATCTGCATCGGAAAGTCTATGAATTACGAACAATTATAAAATCATTTACTAAATAAATGAGTGGGTTTTAATTAGAAAATGATTTATTTTATTTTTTGTAATTCATAGACTTTTAAATTGTTCTAATGCAGATGAAAGACAACATCATTTCATACCTTTTGAAGTTCGGAAAAGGGAAAAGACACGCCTAACGTATTGAAGAAGGCTCACATATGCCCTCCGTTAACCTTATGGTCTAAAAATACCTTTGAGTTTTTTTGAGCTAAAATGTATATGTGAAACTAAATGACAAGCCTGGGTTGAATTTGGTTCATCAAAATAGTGGAAATAAACCAAAAATATTCCTAACGCATTCAAAATGGATCATAAATACCTTCCATTAACTTTTTAGTCAAGAGATACTCTTAACATTTTGGGGCTCAAACATACCCTTGAAACTAATGGACCAGGCTGGGTCAAAACTCGGTCTTTCAAATAGTCACATGTCATTCTAAGCTTGCAACATACTTAATGCATGATTATATTAAAACCCACACATTTACACAAACCCAACTTGTTTTCATTTTAAGAAATTAAACACCTGATACTTTCTTTTCTTCCAAGGGTATCCGTTATTTCCTAGAAGTTTAGAGATAATGAGGCGATTTAGGGCGAAACTTTTGCTCTTCAAACATGGAAATTGTGGGTCATAACTTCATTGGATGTTGAAGGTTCTTCTTGACCAGTCAGTTTTGAAGTCTTGTTATTAAGGTAATTTATTTTAATGCTTTATGAAACTTTTTCTATTTTCGTTTGATGCACTTGAGTTTAGGGCTTTTCGGAAACAACCTCTCTACCTCCACAAGGTAGGGATAAGGTTTGCTTACTCTCTACCCTCTCCTCTACCTCCACAAGGTAGGGATAAGGTTTGCTTACTCTCTACCCTCTCCAAAACCACTTGTAAGATTACACTGGGTATGATGTTGTTGTTGCTTTTACGGAACTTTTAATGGTTTGGGTTTTCTATATTCTTGGCCTTCAACAAAAAATATTACTACATTCATGTTGAAGCTTTTATTGCTTTCTAATGAAGCTGATTTTTTTACTCTATCTGTGTTAAAGCTTTTAATGGATCTGTGCTAAAGTTTGAGAACCACCTCCATGATTCTGGTAAATCTGGATTATTTATGGTGATTTGTTGTTCAAAGTCTTGATCTGAAAAGGTTTGGTTTTGCCCATCCTTAAATATAAACAGTTGAAAGAACATCTAACGTACCATTTGTATCTTAAGACTTTCTGAGTCACTCTTTTCTATCTTAAAACTCTTACATTAGCAATTGCATATAACTTTCCTAGGTTCTGGATATCTTTACAAGTCATTACCTTCTTCCAACTCTTTGTACTTGTCTAATTTTTCGCTGATTTCTTTAGTCCTTTCCCTTCTTAACACCTTGAACTCCTCACTATAATAATCTCTAGATGCAGGGTCATTACCTTCCTCCTTCTCAAAACTATCACAATCAGTTCCAGCACTTACAGTGCCCAAAGAAACCTCACTATGATGAATAGCATAGTACAATGAGCAGCCACATACTCTTCACCCTCATCTACTGCAATAGGTTTTAGTACATTGGAATCACTACACAATAAATATTGAAGGGTTCTAAGCCTCCAACACATAAAACTAACTAGATTGTCATTTAACTAACTTTTCATCTCACCAAAACTTAAATTTTCCATATATTCTCAATAAAATCATTATATGGAAATAATTCTACGTTATACTCCTTGCCACATGTGTATGTGTCTTTAATATAGATCAACTGAAGTACGAACCAAAATACCCCATAACTGAAAATCAACTTAGCATTTAATTCATTCTTTAGAAACCAACTCATCCAAGCCATAAAATAAAGGAAATAGTGACCACGCCGAAGATATGCGGACAAAAAAAGATAATGGAATCGAACGACATACAACAAACAAAGTAATCACAAATGAATAAATAACCCACAACCACGAGTGCAATAAATAAATTTCCTTCATACAAATCAAGAAGGGACCGCATCGAAAATGAATTAGTAAGCAAAGCCATGATTCTAAGACATGCAAGAAGAAGTATTAGAGAAGTGAAGTGATTGAGCATAGAAAAGAGAGGACTCTTCCGCTAGACAGTGTCCTCTGAAACCTTCAGTTTTGTTCAGGCAATCATATCTGCTAAGAATTTTTGTTAGACAATTTTGTGTAAAAATAAAAAAAGAGGGATTTGTAATTTGTGTCTGATCAATCTGATGTAGGTGTGTAAGATGAGTTCTTACACGTTAGACACTGTGATGATTTTATAGAGCATTTCCTCTCCTTTTCTATCCCTTTTCTGCTCATGAAAAAAAATGAGAGAAGGATGTAACGGTGTCACTCATATCACTTATGACATCACAAATCTATGACGTCACAAATCTATGACGTACTGAAATTTGCACAAAATTTTTTATATACCTAAGGAATCCAAAAGAATGATCTATTACTCAAACCCCTCAACATCATCGATTTTGGTAGATCGACAAACTGAACAAATGTAACAGGCAGAAGACTGATCACAACCAACATTAAAATAGGTCGATATAACTAATGTTGATCCTTGGTTAAATCATAGGCATAGCTACCCTCTAAGCAAGTAATATCAAACTTCTTCCTAGGCAAAAAGTTTGAATCTTTAAAGTACCCTTCATAATATAAATGAGTCCTAAACATCACTATATCAAGTGAAAGTTCTTTGTACACCGTATGATCCTTCATAGTCAATGACGTTGATTTTCTTAATTCCACAATCTTATTACTCTATTCATTCACAAACAATTTGTGTAACTTTTTGCTCTTTCGCTCACTTTCTGACATCCCATTACCATTTCTAGCCTCCACCTTCTATTACCTTATTCAGTTTTCTCTTCTCCATTTTCATGTGCCTTATCAGTTTACAAACTCTTCATTTCTATGTTTACGCAAGGCATACACAAATACTTCCAATATATTCCCAATTATTAGGATACAGAATTCAATCAAGAATGTCATTGTTGAAGATTTTGGTAGATTACCAAAAGACAAATTAGACCAATAAACTTCGATGAATAAATGTAAACAAACACAGAAAACTCACTAAAGGATAAAATATGAAAATGCGTGAATGTAACTTAATTGATCCTTACTTAGCAATCTCTTGGTGATCTCTACCAAACTGCTCAGCTGCATACTTTACAAAATCACGAGCATAGCTATTCTCGAAGCAAGTAATGCCAAACTTCCTCCTAGGCAAAAAGTTTGAATCTTTAAAGTACCTGCATTGCATAAATGAGTTACAAACATCATTCATATCAGGTGAAAGCTCTTTGTACACCGTATGATTCTCCATTCGTTAACAATTCATGTAATTTGTTACTCTTCCCCTCATTTTCCAATACCTCATTCGGCACTTGCAATATAAGCATTCATCATTGGATTCTGAAAAAGCACAACTGCACTGTTCTAGTGGAATCACCCAATAATATATTAATATATACCACGAACCACTACAGCTGTAAGCGCCCAACAGATTCAAACTAATAACTAAAAAAATCATCACCGACACTTGCAAAATGGCATTCTGCACCACAATAAAGCAGTAACAAACATATACATAAACAAGTGGAAGATTTCATACTTCTGCTGGTGATAGATAGTGTTGTAAGAACCGTTAAGCTACAATACCTCATTAACCTTTCTAGCTTCCTCCTTATAATCCCTTTCATTTTTCCTCTTCTCACGCAAAATTCAAACTTTTTCCTCCAATTTTCTCAATTAACACTTCAGTTCTTTGTTTTCAGTTTCATCCTCACTTCTTGAAAGAAAACACCCAATGGTTTCATTGATAAACTATCTGAACTGGTTGATTCCTTCTGAAACTGAACTAAAAACGAAAAGGGTCTCCAAAAATTGGTGGAACCATAGATGAGAGCATATAGAACGAAGATGAGATTATGAAATTAGAGGGGTTTTAGGGTTTCAGATGCGGACTCATGGAGTTGGTTCGAGACTCAAACTAGTACACAAAATATTTTGTTAACCGAAGTTAGAATTTTCATATTTAATATCAATAAAAAATATCGAGAGAATAAAAACATAGAGCTCATTTGGTTTTTTTATTTTTCATATCTAGTTATATAAATGAGCAAAATGATATATCTAACAAAAAGTATAACACATAAATATCACTCTTAATATTTCAGGTGATAATTATTACTTTTAACATTGAATATGCACAATAGGCATTTAAACTTGAATAAAATTAAACAAATAAACACATTTGTCCTACATGACCATTTTGTGTCCTACGTGTATTATGTCGCATTAATCACGTGTGTATCCTAGGTGTACATCGATCTCTTCGATCTTATGTATTATCAATCCGCTTTATCCGTTTTCAATTTTCAAATACGCTAAAAAACTAACCATAATTTTTATCGATTTTTGGCATATTGATTTTAGTCCTTAACGGTTCGATTTTCGATTTAACTAATAAGAAAATGCTTATAAAATAAATATATGACTAATAAATTTGACGCGTTGCCAGAAGAGCCGATGTACAAATAAAGAATCTGTTTTGACATGAAATGGATATATCCATATATCTCTGACTCATATTTACTAGATGATAAAATATGGCAAAAGCTATACCAAAAATTAGTTCGCGTCGGAATGGACGTATTAGTTCACGTAAGGGTGCACGTAGAATACCAAAGGGAGTTATTCATGTTCAAGCAAGTTTCAATAATACCATTGTCACTGTTACAGATGTACGGGGTCGAGTAGTTTCTTGGTCCTCAGTGTTAATCTTCTTGCAGTTGAGGCATGTTAATCATGCATGAACATGAAGTTACGTAGAGAAGAAGGGAAGAAAAGAAACAGAGAAGAACAGGGAAGAACAAGGAAGAAGAAGCAGTATAGAGGAAGAAACTTGTATTCCTTTGTGTATTTCAAAAGTGTATTTGTAATCTGTACATTGAACTAGTTATATACAAGAATAAAAGACTGAATTTATTCTAACTACTTCTAACAAACTTCTAACTACTTTAACAACTTCTTTGATGTATAGTCCTCTTAATTACAATTATTTACATAATGAACCTAACACTATAGTTTTAAGTAATGCCTTCTTTAATACTCCCCCTCAAGTTTGTAGGTATGAATAGGTTCAATACACCAAACTTGGATAGTAGATACTCATGTTGAGTTTTTCCCAAGCCTTTAGTTAACATGTCTGCTTCTTGTTCTTTGGTACTCAAGTATTGAGTTTGCACTAATCCATTCTGAATCTTCTCTCTTATAAAATGGCAATCCAACTCTATATGCTTTGTCCTTTCATGTAGCACAGGATTAGCAGCTATTTGAATAGTTTCACTAACCACACAACTTCAGCCACTGCACTTGCCATACTTCTGTACTCAGCTTCAGTTGAGCTTCTAGAAATGGTTGCTTGCTTCTTAGACTTCCATGATATTAGTGAGCCTCCCAACTTTACCATGAGACCTGTAACTGATCTCCTTGTATGTAAACAGCTACCCCAGTCTGAATCACAGTAAATTTGACGTTCTTTGCTCTTTGCACTGGACAATAGAACACCCAGTCCAACTTGCCTTTTGATATATCTTACTACTTTGAGAGCAGCATTTAGATGAGACTGTTTAGGCTGATGTAGAAATTGACTTACAGTCTGTATGGCAAATGCAATGTCTGCTCTAGTGACATTTAGATATAGTAATTTTCCAACTAACCTTCTGTATACTGTTGGCTCTGTCAACAACTTATCATCTTTGTTTGTTCCATTTATTTCATCATACTCTTTAGTAGTTAACTGCACATAAGGATCAAGTGGAGTAGCAGCTGGTTTTGCAGCATTAAGACCTGCCTCAGATATGATCTCCAATGAATATTTCCTTTGATGCATTACAATCCCATCTTGTGATCTAGCAAACTCAATCCTAAGGAAATATCTGAGATTCCCTAGATCTTTCATTTTGAAGTTTTCTTGTAAGGTTCTTTTAGTTTGTTGAATAATATTGATATCACTTCCAGTGAACATCAAGTCATCTACATATACTAAAAGTATCACCAGAGATGTACTAGTTTTCTTGATGAATAATGAGTAATCAAGATGACTTTGTACAAATCCCAATTTGACAAGGACTTCAGTGAGTTTTGCATTCCATTGCCTAAGGGCTTGTTTTAATCCATAAAAGGATTTAGTGAGCCTACACACTGGTTTCCCCTGCACACTAAAACCCTTTGGAGGCTTAAAGCCAAAAGGAAGTACCATATAGACTTCATCATGTAAATCTCCCTGAAGAAATGCATTAGATGCATCCATCTGATGAACATGCCAATGTTCTTTTGCAGCTAAGGACAATACACTCCTAACAGTCACCATTTTCACAACTGGAGAAAAGGTTTCCTGATAATCCAGCCCTTCTCTCTGATTAAATCCTTTTGCCACAAGACGTGCCTTAAACCTGTCAATCTCACCAGATGCATGATACTTGATTTTAAAAATCCACTTGCAACCAATAGCTTTCTTGTTAGGAGGTAAAGGAACCACCTGCCATGTTTCATTGGACTCCAAAGCTGATATTTCAGCTTGCATTGCTTCAACCCACCTTGAATCCTTACAGGCTTCCTCAAAAGAAGTAGGTTCAACTTCAGTACCAAATGAAGTAAGGAAGGCTCGATAAGAAGAAGACAAGTTGTCATAACCAATGTACTTATCAATGGAATACAGAGGTTTATTGGATTGAAGCTGAGCAGATGCAACATAATCTTGTAGCCATAAAGGAGCTTTGGTACTTCTTTGTGATCTTCTTATAGAAGGAGTATCTTGAGTTGGAACTAACTCAGTATGTACAACTGTGGTAGGAGAATTATCCTGGAATAAAGGTGTAACCTCTAGATTCATCAACATTAGGAAACACTTGCCATGCAATAGATGAAGGAGAAGCAAATGGAAATATAGATTCTCTAAATAGGACATCCTGCTAATGAAGAATGTTTTGTCCTTGATGTTGTATAATATGTATCCTTTTGTATGAGCACTATAGCCCATGTGTACAACAATGACATTCCTAGGATGAAACTTGTCCTTAATGTGCATATTTTTAGCAAAACATAGACAACTTATCACCCTCATATGTTGTAGGGAAGGTTTGCATTTGTGAAACATTTCGTATGGAGATTTACCATGCAAAACAGATGTAGTCAATCTGTTTATAATATAT